AGCGGCTTTTCTCAGCAGACTCCTCAGCTTGAGAATAAAGGACTGAGGGAAGTGAGGTGTGGGAGAATAAAACTGAGCTCTGGAGAAATGTTTGGCTAGAGTTTCCCCTACAATATGTACCAGTTCCGACTTGCATACAAATTCAACTTAAGAACAAACCTACAGTCCCTATCTTGTACGTAACCCGGGGACTGCCTGTACTGCACAGGGGCATGGGAGCAGTCCCGGGCCAGCTCACACTCCCGGGGATAGCAGGACATGTCAAACATGGCCTGTGTGCAAGCACATTGGCTCTGATGGTGTGGAGACCTGCCGTCCTCACCTTGCAGCGGGGAGCTTGGCTTCACCCACTGTGTCCCCAGGGATAACTGACCACTTATCTTTGTTTCTGCACAGCCACAGCAGCTGCGTGTGCAGGGCGCACTACCCCACCACTGCCCCCAGGCACTCAGCAGGCTCACCCAGAACCAGGAGGAGTATCAGCAGCAGCACCTGGGGCTCCTGTGAAGGCTGGTCTGCATCCTGGAGCACTGGGTGCATGAAGACCTACAGTTGTGGCGGAAGAGCTGGTGGGAACTCCTTGCTCAGGGCCATGCCATCTGCTACCACCTGCAGACCCTGGTGCAGAGATTGGTGCTTCCTGCTGCTCCAGCTCCTGCTGCGGCCCCATCTATTGCTCCTCCTCCCACTCCTGCTCCCCCTCCCACCTCTTCCTCCCCCCCTCTCCACCCACTCCACCCTCCATACCCACTCCCCCCCTGGGACGCTGAGGCCCTCGCACCCACAGTGCTAGGAGACAGGTGGACCAGCAAGACCCCCAACCCTGAGCTTCTCCTTCCCCTTCCAGCTCCCTCCTCCTAGGTTTCCCCCTCCCTTCTCCCACCCTCTCGCCTCCCCTGTCCCTCCCTCATTCCCCTCTCCCCCCAGTTATGATCAATAAACAGAATTTGCTTTTGGCAACACATGTGTGTTTATTTTACATCAGGAAGGGGGGTTAGGGAAGGGAAAGTGGAAGGACGTGAGGGTGGAATAAGGCACAAGGTCCCAGTGGGCACGCCAGGGAGGCTTCACTCCTTCTCCATCTAGAAGCTCTCCCACAGGGCCTCCCAGATACCGACAGCCCCTGCTGGGCCTTCCGGCTGGCAGCCATGCGGGGCTGCATGTACAGGCCAGCCAAGTGGTCAGCCTTTGCCATCTAGGATGGCAGGAAAGACATCCCTCCCCCTTTCTTTCGCACAAAATATGCAGCACACAGCAACACCACGTGTGGAATATTCTTCTTGGAGAGGTCCAGGTGGGTGAGGAGGCATCTAAAACGGTCCTTCAACCGGCCAAAGGTACCCTCCATCATGATGCAGGCCCTGCTGAGCCTGGCATTAAAGGCCTGCTGGAAGGGGTTGAGGTGTCCTGTGTAGGGCTTCATGAGCCAGGGCTGTAGTGGGTAGGCCACATCCCCCACCAGGCACACAGGCATGTCCACGTCCCCAACCCTGATGTGGTGGTCAAGGAAGAAAGTCCCAGCATGCAGCCTCTGGCACATGGAGGAGTTGCAGTAACCTTGCGTGTCGTGTGCTTTGTCAGACCAGCCCACGTTAATGTCCAGGAAGTGGCCCTGGTGGTCAGACACCGTCTGCTGGATGACCAAGAAGTATCCGGTTGATGTAGAGAGAGGCCTGGTGGTCCGGGGCACGGATGGGGATGTGCATCCAGAAAATTGACCCCTTCCTCCCAGAGTTGGGGAAGCCCAGGGTGCCAAACCCCTCGATGACCGCATCCACATCAGGGAGGTAATGACGATCTACTGTAAAATTGTCAGTTTTTTTCCGGAAAAACTATGCTGCTCCCATTCGGGCAAAAGTCCTTTTCCGGAAAAACTGTTCCGGAAAAGGGCCAGTGTAGATAGCACAGTAGTCTATTCCGCAAAAAAGCCCCGATCGCAAAAATGATGATCGGGACATTTTTCTGGAAAAGCATCCTGCCAATGTAGACGCGCTTTTCCAGAAAAATGTCCCGATCATCATTTTTGCGATCGGGGCTTTTTTGCGGAATAGACTACTGTGCTATCTACACTGGCCCTTTTCCG